TTATAAATAACTAAAAAAAATGTGTTATTTTAAATAAACAAAATTGTTATCTTTTTTGTTACTTAAAAAATGTGTTATTTTCTTTGAATAAAAAATATGTTTTTGTTATTTGAAATAACAAAAAAAAGTTATTTTATTTGAACCTATCTACGTGAATTTGCAATGACCTCGTTTAATAATGATAATGATCATGACAGATTAAGAACAATAATGGTAACAACAATGATAATATTTACAATAATGAACAATAAGGATAATAACAAGGATAATTAGAACAATGATAATATTCGTGATGATAGCAATTACACGGATAATGATAAGGAATAATCGTGATAAAGATCATGAAAACTATGGTATAGATAATACACTTTGGTTTTTTCGGTAAAGTCATGTAGGTAAAACAATAAAATAAAATAAATGAAAACGAAATTAATAAAATAAATTCAAACAACTAAATAAATTTAGTTAATAATTATAACTAAATTTATTTAGTTTTCTTTTATGAAAACTAAATTAATTAGTTGTTTTCATAAAATAAAATGTTATTTTGTGAAAACAACTAATTTAATCATAATCAACGATTTTTGGGTTTAGATCGCGTTTATTTATAAATGTGTCGTAACCCTCCACCACCCGACACGGCCATTTATCAGTAAAAATGTGTCACGTTGACAAAGACAAATAGTTCACTGCTTTAGCCCACCGGTGTGTTGAAGCAACAACATTTACAATTTGAGTACGACGTTTCGCTGGTAATTGCAACCAGCATCATCGGGCAATTCGCCAGAATGGTGAGGCTCTCCTGTGTCTCCCGTTCTTATATAGAGCAGCAGCAGGGTGACGTCATCATTAACTCATCAGGTGCAAAGATTCAAGGGGGGGAGTGATTGTAATTATATACTAGATTAGTAATCAGGCTATTGTTACGATGCGAGTTTTAGATTAGTAATCATTTGGAATGTGCTTTATTGTGATTATGCTACATTAGTAATCAGTTAGTGGTTGTTTCCCTTATAAGTAATTGTAATGTATCTTATTTAATAATACGCTTCCAGGCCGCACTAAGCCTGTAGCTGTCTGAGCGATTAAAGTTATTTCTGTTTCTCTCAATTTCAATCGATTCTCTAATTAGTCTTTGCCAGTAGTAACTAGTTTTACACAACACTTCCACGTTGTCAAAATCAATTGAGTGTCCCTGTTGGCATGCATGTTCTGCTACTGCCGACAGTTGTGTTTGTGATAGTTTAATATTTCTCTGGTGTTCTTTTAGTCTTACACTAACGTTACGCCCTGTCTGTCCAATATAGCATCTGCCACATACACAATTAATCCGATATACACCTTCTGTTGATAATTTAGGTAATTCGTCTTTAGTGCACGTTACTAGTTGTTGAATTTTGTGTACTGTACCAAATCTTACTGTAATGTTTTGCTTTTGCAAAACACGGGCTAATTTATCAGTTACTCCTGAGATAAATGGTATTTTTATTGTTTTAATAATCTGATCGCTTTCAGCAGTGTTGCTTTGCGATCGTGATTTGGCTTTTAGTGCTCTGTTAATTTGAGCATTATTGTAGCCATTCTGTCTTAGTGCTTCTTTAACATGTTTAATCTCTCTCACTAGACTTTCACCATCTGACACTGTTTTAGCCCGATGTATGAGCGTCTTGATAAGAGAGGATTTCTGAGCTGGGTGATGATGCGAATCTGCATTCAGATAGGCATCAGTGTGCGTTGGCTTTCTGTAAACGCTGTGTGTTATTTTACCGTTTGGGCCATGCCCAAGTAAAATATCCAGGAACGGGAGTGTGTTATTCACCTCCATTTCCATGGTGAACTGAATGGCCGGGTTTTGTGCATTGAGATGATTTAGAAAATCGTTAAGTGTATCTTTACCATGTGGCCAGACAACCAAAGTGTCATCCACATATCTAAACCAAAAGGATGGTTTTAATGTGCTCGAGGCAAGTGCTCTGGTTTCAAAGTTTTCCATGTACAAATTTGCTATAGCAGGAGATAAAGGAGAGCCCATTGCTGCTCCCTCCCTTTGTTTAAAGAATTCGCCTCTCCATAAGAAGTAAGTGTTATTTAAACAATGGTCTGCGAGTTTCGGAATATCTTTTGGTAAACCTGTATTCTTTACCAGTGTATCAAGTAATTTAAGCGACTCGCTCACTGGAACCTTAGTGAATAGCGAAATCACATCAAAACTCACCAAAATATCATTAGGGTTAAGTTTAATATCTTTGATCATATTCACAAGATGTTCTGAATTTCTTATGAATGATGATGTCCTACCGATGTAAGGCTGAATTTGTTTAGTTACATAGGGGTGGGGGGGGAGTGAAGAGGACGTGAAACTTTGATGAATTTACCTCAGAGTCGCGTGTTAATGCGTGCGCATATTTTTAACGGGAATTAAAAATGGCGTCCACCCTGCAGCGAATGCGTCGCTACCCGTTGCCAGGGGCAACCGCCGTGGAAAACCAAACGGACCAATCGTGTCTCGCAAATCCCTCACATTTCGTCCAATGAAACTGCGTATGGTCCGGCGACACACAGACAGACAGACACACACACAGACAGACAGACAGATTTGCAATTTTATATATATAGATGAAAACAACAAAATTAATAAAGTTGGTTACATTTATTTTATTAATTAACTTTTCATTTATTTACTTTCATTAATTGCTTTACCTGCGTGACTTTACCGGAAAAAACCCAAGAGTATGAATCCCTGCAGTCACGAAAGCTTCAAATCTAGGACGTAGATAATCATAACGATACGGACGATTATAAGAACGATGCAGATGATGACAACGATATGGACGATGACGACTGACTCGTATTTTATTCCTTCCACCCTCCCCGGGGCCTTTTGCTGAACCAGAGAATTTTATTTTAAACAAACCGCCCCTTCCCCCCCCCCCCCCCCCCAGGGCAGAGAATGCAGTGAATGTTGAAGCGATGGATCTCCCAGAGGACGTGGAGACTCATCGTCATCATCATCACGGTGGTGGCAGCGCTCACAGCCAGCTCCACGTAGACCAGCGGAGCGTTGCCCTGCAAGGGCTTGGTGTGGTGGGGGGGGAGGAGGTGGAGGAGGAGGTGGAGGAGGGACAGCAGCTGGAACGTGTCCCGTGGTGGCATGAGTTGGACAAGGTGCTGGAGTGTGTCCCGTGTGAGGAGTTAGACACCATGGAGTGTGTCCCGTGTGATCAGTTAGACACGCTGGGGGAGTGTGTCCCGTGTGATGAGTTAGACACGCTGGGGGAGTGTGTCCCGTGTGATCAGCTAAACGAGTGGGGGCACGGAGGCTACTGGGAGCTCTCTCCCGTGGAGTCGATTGGAGTCGAGGCTTTGCCGGGTTCCCGCGGAGGGGACCTCTGGGACGTCGCCTCCTCCACCACCGTGACCTCCTCCAGCGTGACCTCCTCCAGCGTGACCTCCTGCAGCATGACCTCTTCCAGCGTGACCTCCAGCGTGACCTCCAGCGTGACCTCCAGCGTGACCTCCAGCATGACCTCCAGCATGACCTCCTCCACCGTGACCTCCACCACCGTGACCTCCAGCGTGACCTCCAGCGTGACCTCCAGCAGCGTGACCTCCAGCGTGACCTCCAGCGTGACCTCCAGCGTGACCTCCTCCAGCGTGACCTCCTCCAGCGTGACCTCCAGCGTGACCTCCTCCAGCATGACCTCCTCCAGCGCCACCTCAACTTCCACGGAGTCCATCGCCGACGCGACCCACGGAGCAGGAGGAGGAGGAGGCTCCACCTCCTGGACAGAGGTGGATCTCCTCATCTTCTCGCTGCTGGGTGACGCCGGCGCTCCGGGCGACGCGGGCGGGGAGGGGTGGGACGCTGGGCGGGGCGCCCACCCCCCCCACGCCGCCGAGGAGGAGGTCGGGGTCGGGGGGGTCGGGGTGTGCGGCGCTCCGCCGGTCCGCCCCGGCGCTCCGAGCTCGGAGACTCTCGGCGGCGGCGGCGGCGTCCGTCGGATCGAGCGGAACCCACGCGGCGCGTTCCTTCCCGTCGTCCCGGCGGGGAGCGGCCGCTCGCGATGGGACGGCACCGAGGCTCCCACCGCCCCCTCCTCCTCCAACTCCTCCTCCTCCCGGCGCCGGCGGCTCTGGGAGGAGTCGGAGCCGCCCAAGGGGATGAACCGGCGAGCCAGGAGCGTCTTCACTCGGTGTATGTGCGCGGTGGCGGCGGCGAAGACGGTCGTTTCGATTCAGCCTCATTGAGTAGCCGGTGTGGGGGCGGTGTGACGGTGTGTAGTAGACATCGCCGCCAGGGAGACTAAGGCGGTCGGGCGTCGTGCTGGACACACACACCCCCTGCTGTGTCGTGCCGCCCTTGATGGGTGCTGCTACTCGCTACTAACAGCACTTGCCCCTACAGTCTGTTAGAGGCTACACGGGGGACCTTTGCGTAGCTGCTGCTACTCGCTACTAACAGCACTTGCCCTACAGTCTGTTACAGGCTACACGGGGGACCTTTGTCTGTGTGTACTTGCTGCTACTCGCTACTAACAGCACTTGCCCCTACAGTCTGTTACAGGCTACACGGGGGACCTTTGTCTGTGCAGGTGCTGCTACTCGCTACTAACAACACTTGCCCCTGAGTCTGTTAGAGGCTACACGGCGGGGGAAATTTGTCTTTCTTACCCCGTGGCCCCTGCTACTGGACATCTGTGACGCACAAAGAGCTTGACAGCTTCTCAGATTCTCCCTCCTGCTGTTGCTGCTGCTCCTGCTGCTGCTCCTGCTGCTGCTGCTGCAGCTGCTGCTGCTGCAGTATGGCGACTCTGATTGTGAATTGGCGTGGACAATTCACAATCGATTCAACCGATTCCACCGCCCCTCCCCCCTGCGCTCTGACCAACTCTCCTCCGGCGTGACGTCTCTCGCGACGTCCCGGACGGGACGCGACTTTGACGGCCCCAACCTCCGACGGACGGACGGACGGAGCGCAGCTCAGCGCGCCCGGCTGGAGGAGGCCTTCCTGGGCGAGCCTTACCTGGACCCGCGTGGACGCCTGCTGCTCGCGTTCAGCCATCAACATTCCGCCGCAGAAGGTCAAGGTAACTCTCCCGCCACCGTCACCAACCACGTGGCAGAGGTCGCAACCGGGTACCCGGCTACCCGTACCCTGGTGCGGCCGGGTACGGGTAGGCCGTGAGTCACTGGTGAGTCACCGTTTGTCACTCATTTCCCAACGTCTTGTCTCTTCTCACAATTCAAGTTCCTAGAATCAACCCACCCGCGCCTGCAACATGGCTTCATCCCAGAGGTCGCAACCGGGTACCCGGTACCCGTACCCTACCTGATACCCGGCCAGGTACGGTTAGGGTACGGGTACGGCCGGGTACAGGTACGGGTAAGGAATCAAAACCCGTTTGCGACCTCTGCCACGTGGTGGTAACCTCAACGCCAGGGTGGTAGGAGCAGAAGTAGGTGTTGGCTTTAGTGACCGATCTTAGCGGATACGGGGTCGTGTCAGGGTGTTAGACCATCGCTACGGATCTTAGCAGATATGGGGTCGTGTCAGGGCGTTAGACCATCGCTACCGATCTTAGCGGATACGGGGTCGTGTCAGGGTGTTAGACCATCGCTACCGATCTTAGCGGATACGGGGTCGTGTCAGGGTGTTAGACCATCGCTACGGATCTTAGCGGATACGGGGTCGTGTCAGGGCGTTAGACCATCGCTACCGATCTTAGCGGATACGGGGGTGGTCCCCGCAGACACCGACACGCGTAGACCCGGCGCTCGCCGCTGCTGGTTTTGTTGCTGCGCTCCGTGTGGCTCCTCGTCAAGATTTGGTTCCAAAACCGACGAGCCAAGTTGCGGCGGCTGAGGCAGGAAGCGGCGTGGACGATGTACGGCGTCGCCACGGATACCGTTGCCACGGACACCGTCGTCACGGACGTCGTCGCCATGGACACCGTCGCCACGGACGTCATCGCCATGGACACCTTTGCCACGGACACCGTCGCCACGGACGTCGTCGCCACGGACGTCGTCGCCACGGACGTCGTCGCCACGGGCACCGTCGCCACGGACGTCGTCGCCATGGACACCGTCGCCACGGACTTCGTCGCCACGGACACCGTCACCACGGACGTCGTCGCCACGTCTACCACCACTACCGTCACCACCACCACGGCCACCACCACCACGTCCACCACCACCACCGTCACCACCAGCACGGCCGCAATGAGACGGTAATTGTCATCGGCTCGCTCTGCGAGTCTGCGGTGAGCGGTGAGCGGTGAGCGGTGAGCGGTGAGTGGTGAGTGGTGAGCGGTGAGTGGTGAGCGGTGAGCGGTGAGCTGTGAGCGGTGAGCTGTGAGTGGTGAGCGGTGAGTGGTGAGCTGTGAGCGGTGAGCGGTGAGTGTCTGCAGAGCGTCCACCTGAGGCGTCATCCATGCCACGTCGGTGAACAGACACGTTGAGCCTCACAGCTCCGACTCGCCTCACACTCACGGGACCCACGGTGGCTATGAGACGTTGACTTCCTCGCCTCGGATACAGGAGGTCGTGCGTGCAATCCCAAGCCTGACGATGTCTGCTGCTGCTGCTGTGTATGTGGAGTCTGCGTGTCTAACCACTGTGGCTAGGAGATGTTGACTACCTCACTTGGTCTGCAGGAGGTTGCATAGAGAATCCCCGTGGTCGCGTGGAGTCTTTGTGTATCTCCATGAGTCTATCTGTATCTCCATGAGTTTCTGTGTATCTTTATGAGTCTCTGTATCTCTATGAGTTTCTCTGTATCTCTATGAGTCTATCTCTGAGTCTCTATGAGTCTCTATCTCTATGAGTCTCTATGTATCTCTATGAGTCTCTATGGTACATAGAGATACAGAGACACTCATAGAGATACATAGAGATGCATGGAGACCCTCGGAGACTCGTAGAGGTGCTTGCTGTGCCGTCAGAGCAACGGCCGAACCTCCGCCTCCACATTTACAGACAGCTGCAGCTGCAGCTGCAGCAGCAGCAGCTGTGGCAGCAGCAGCAGCGGCAGCAGCAGCAGCAGGAGCTGCAGCAGCGGCAGCAGCAGCGGCAGCAGCAGGAGCTGCAGCAGCAGCAGCAGCTGCAGCAGCAGCAGGAGCTGCAGCAGCAGCGGCAGCAGCAGGAGCTGGTGGTGGTGGTGGAACGCGAGATCCCCGCGCGCTCCGCCAACCCCTACGTGGGAAGCAGCACCGGCAAGGTGACCAGCGTACTCACTCCTCCTCCTACTCCAGCTACTCAACCTCCTGCTCCACCCCCTCCACCCCCTCCACCCCCTCCATCCCCCCCACCCCTCCCACCCCCCACCACCCCCCCCACCCCCCCCACCCCCCACCACCCCCCCCACCCCCCCCACCCCCCACCACCCCCACCACCCCCTCCACCCTCTCCTCCCCCTCCACCCCCCCCACCCCCTCCACCCCCACCACCCCCACCACCCCCACCACCCCCACCACCCCCACCACCCCCACCACCCCATGCTCCCCCCCCCTCACCCCCACAAGGCGTTCCTGCACTGCAGCAGCAACTCAAAGGTAGGAGGTTGAACCGTCGCCGTCACGGTGATGGGGATTATCTGAACGGGACCCGGGCTTCCCCTAGGTCGACTCGGCCTCAAACGAGTGGTTCCCCACCGCCGGTTGGCGGGAACCCGCCGGTCACGACGCTCTCAAGCGCAGACGCTCGCACCGTCCGTGTGGTGGTGGCGGTGGTGACGGTGGTGGTGACGGTGGTGACCACAACCGCGGCTGCTTCGGCTGCTGTTTCTACGAGGAGCCCGTCCTGAAACAGGCCCTGGTCTGTAACGACGTCGCCGCACGCGACCGCTCCTTCAACATCGCCGCTGAAGTGAACCACTCGGCGCGGCACGGTGGCCACTACCACCACGGTGGTGGTGGTGGTTGTGGTGGTGGTAGTTGGTATGATGGTGGTGGTAGTTGGTATGATGGTGGTGGTGGTAGTTGGTATGATGGTGGTGGTGGTTGTGGTGGTGGTGGTTGTGGTGGTGGTGGTTGTGGTGGTGGTGGTGGTAGTTGGTATGATGGTGGTGGTGGTTAGTATCATGGTGGTGGTAGTTGGTATGATGGTGGTGGTGGTAGTTGGTATGATGGTGGTGGTGGTGGTAGTGGTGGTGGTAGTTGGTATGATGGTGGTGGTGGTTAGTATCATGGTGGTGGTGGTTGAGATTGACGTTCCACAGTGATTTTAAAACCTGTCACGAGTTCTAACTGCCTCGTGATTTACAATTGCATTTACGTACGAATAAGGCGCGCAGGTCCGCACAGTAACTACAACGTTTATTCTCATATTTATTTATTATTAAACTCACGATATTTATACTCTTTGGTTCTTTCGGTAAAGTCACGTCGGTAGAAATCAAATCAAATAAATCACGACGTTTCGATTTGCAACACAAGCAATCGTCATCGGGTGGGAAAACCGCAGCAAGAAATGTGTTTTGCTGAAGTGTGAGGAGGTTATATGGGTGGTGAGAGGAGGGGGGTGGGGGGTAGGGGAGCGTTGCGTGGACGCTAGGAGAGTGTGCGTGGGACTGCGGCAACATCGCCAGTGACTAGCTGCCAAAGCAGCAGCAATGCCAAACGCCGGGGATGCAATTGACTTGTCAAAATAGACCAGTGCCCGGCAAATATGATGGGACAACCATAACAGTAGTAGGTTTTTACCCTTTCAACTGGTACAAAACTGACACCTTTATACAAGGCATCATGTTTGCAATAACCGCAACACAAGCAGTCAATGCAAACAAAAAGAAACAACTCTGATGATGATAATGATATGCACTGTCCTTGAATTTGATTGCTCCACACCCGAGACAGATTTCCTTAGAGCCTAGTCTCCATTGGTGTTGGACCAGATGACGCCAAAAGGCGCACAACTCAAAAACAGTGCACCATCAGAGTATTGAGAGCTCCATAAACAGTTAAGGTTTTACCTGGTTAATAACATCCTTCCAATGATAATTGTTTTTTTACCCTTTTTATCGATGTCTGTGTCGAGGGAACAGCGGCTTGTGCGCTGCACTATGAACCCAGGAACCTGAGTTTGATGATTACCAGCCATTGCGAGCTACCCTGCACAGGGCCAAATACTTATTTCCCTCATGAAAATGCAAATCAATTTATAACATTTTTGACTTGCGTTTTTCTGGATTTTGTTATTCTGTCTCTCACTGTTCAAATAAACCTACCGTTAAAATTACAGACTCATCATTTCTTTGTCAGCGGGCAAACGTACACAATCAGCAGGGGATCAAATACTTGTTACCCTCGCTGTAACAAGCTGAGATTAGGAGCACTCCCTTTAAGAGTGTGCTCCTAACCTCAGCTCGTTACCTGTGTAAAAGACACCTGGGAGCCAGAAATCTTTCTGATTGAGAGGGGGTCAAATACTTATTTCCCTCATTAAAATGCAAATCAATTTATAAAACTTTTTTTGTTGTTATTCTGTCTCACAGAATAACAGTTCATATTGTGATGGCATCACGTGGTAATGCTTCACCTCATGTTTTAAATCTAGTACACAGTGAACATTGAACTGAAGCCGGACTTCAAAACATTCAATCGCAAATCAAATCCCAAATCTGTCACAAAATTCGCTATTTGACATTTTCCCCCAAATGCTACTGGGGGGAGGGAGGGAGGGGAGGGGAGGGGGGGAGGGGAGGGAGTAGGGAGGGGGAGGGGAGGGAGGAGGAGGGGAGGGAGGGAGGAGGAGGGGAGGGAGGAAGGAGGAGGGAGGAGGAGGGGAGGGAGGGAGGAGGAGGGGAGGGAGGGAGGAGGGGAGGGAGGGAGGAGGGGAGGGAGGGAGGAGGAGGGGAGGGGAGGGAGGAGGGGAGGGAGGGAGGAGGAGGGGAGGGAGGAAGGAGGAGGGGAGGGAGGGAGGAGGGGAGGGAGGGAGGAGGAGGGGAGGGAGGGAGGAGGAGGGGAGGGGAGGGAGGAGGGGAGGGAGGAGGAGGGGAGGGAGGGAGGAGGGGAGGGAGGAGGAGGGGGAGGGGAGGGAGGGGAGGGAGTAGGGAGGGGAGGAGGAGGGGGAGGGGAGGGAGGGAGGGAAGGAGGAGGAGGGGAGGGAGGGAGGGAGGAGGAGGGGAGGGAGGAGGAGGGGAGGGAGGGGGGAGGAGGAGGGGGGGTCACAAGACATCTAGAACACCGCCCGTGCAAGGAGCGTGCGGCGCTGTTCACCGCGGCCCCTGAGCCCGCGCGCTCAAGTCCCGAGCTGTTCACCGCGGCCCCTCCACCTGCCGTTGGGAAGACGCGGCTCGCCTGAGGCGGCTTCGCGCGCTTTGGGCTCCTCCTCAACCTCCTCCTCCTCAACCTCCTCGACCTCCTCCTCAACCTCCTCCGACTTCTTCCTCCTCGTCGTCGTCCCTGTGGAGGGAGACGCGCGGAGGGAGACGCGGCCAACTCGGCTGACATCTCGCCCGGTGAGTTCCGTGCGTCGGGGAGCGGAGGTGGAGGAGGTGGTGGTGGTGATGGTGGTGAGGGTTGTGGTGGTGAGGGTGGTGGTGGTGGTGGTTGTTGTGAGGGTGGTGGTTGTGATGGTGAGGGTTGTGGTGGTGGTGGTGGTGGTTGTGGTGGTGGTGATGATGGTGGTGGTGATGGTTGTGGTGGTGGTGATGGTGGTGGTGGTGAGGGTTGTGGTGGTGGTGGTGATGAGGGTGGTGGTGGTGAGGGTTGTGGTGGTGGTGGTGGTGGTGGTGATGGTGGTGGTGATGGTTGTGGTGGTGGTGAGGGTTGTGGTGGTGAGGGTGGTGGTGGTGGTTGTTGTGAGGGTGGTGGTTGTGATGGTGAGGGTTGTGGTGGTGGTGGTGGTGGTTGTGGTGGTGGTGATGATGGTGGTGGTGATGGTTGTGGTGGTGGTGATGGTGGTAGGTGGTGAGGGTTGTGGTGGTGGTGGTGATGAGGGTGGTGGTGGTGAGGGTTGTGGTGGTGGTGGTGGTGGTGGGTGATGGTGGTGGTGATGGTTGTGGTGGTGGTGAGGGTTGTGGTGGTGGTGGTGGTGGTGGTTGTGGTGGTGGTGATGATGGTGGTGGTGATGGTTGTGGTGGTGGTGATGGTGGTGGTGGTGGTGGTTGTGGTGGTGGTGATGATGGTGGTGGTGGTGGTGAGGGTGGTGGTGGTGAGGGTTGTGGTGGTGATGATGGTGGTGGTGGTGGTGAGGGTGGTGGTGATGAGGGTGGTGGTGGTGGTGATGAGGGTGGTGGTGAGGGTGGTGGTGGTGAGGGTTGTGGTGGTGAGGGTTGTGGTGGTGTGGTGGTTGTGGTGAGGGTTGTGGTGGTGATGATGGTGGTGGTGATGGTTGTGGTGGTGGTGATGGTGGTGAGGGTTGTGGTGATGGTTGGTGGTGGTGATGGTGGTGGTGAGGGTGGTGGTGGTGAGGGTTGTGGTGGTGATGGTGATGATGGTGGTGGTGATGGTGAGGGTTGGTGATGATGGTGGTGGTGATGGTGAGGGTTGTGGTGGTGATGGCGGTGAGGGTGATGGTGGTGGTAGGGTTGTGGTGGTGGTGATGGTTGTGGTGGTGGTGAGGGTTGTGGTGGTGGTGATGGTGAGGGTTGTGGTGGTGATGATGGTGGTGGTGGTGAGGGTTGTGGTTGTGGTGGTGATGATGGTGGTGGTGATGGTGGTGGTTGTGGTGGGTGTGGTGGTGGTGATGGTGGTGGTGATGATGGTGGTGGTGAGGGTTGTGGTGGTGGTGAGGGTGGTGAGGGTTGTGGTGGTGATGATGGTGGTGGTGGTGAGGGTTGTGGTGGTGGTGGTGATGAGGGTAGTGGTGGTGATGAGGGTGGTGGTGATGAGGGTGGTGGTGGTGAGGGTGGTGGTGGTGAGGGTGGTGGTGGTGAGGGTTGTGGTGGTTGTGGTGGTGATGATGGTGGTGGTGATGGTGGTGGTGGTTGTGGTGGTGGTGATGGTGGTGGTGGTTGTGGTGGTGGTGATGGTTGTGGTGGTGATGATGGTGATGGTGGTGAGGGTTGTGGTGAGGGTGGTGGTGGTGAGGGTTGTGGTGGTGATCGTGATGATGGTGGTGGTGAGGGTGGTGAGGGTTGTGGTGTTGGTGGTGGTGATGATGGTGGTGGTGATGATGGTGGTGGTGGTGATGGTGGTGGTGGTGATGGTTGTGGTGGTGATGGTGAGGGTGGTGATGGTGATGATGGTGAGGGTGGTGATGATGGTGGTGGTGATGGTTGTGGTGATGGTTGTGGTGGTGATGGTGAGGGTGGTGATGGTGAGGGTGGTGATGGTGATGATGGTGGTGGTGATTGTGGTGGTGATGGTTGTGGTGATGGTGAGGGTTGTGGTGGTGATGGTGGTGAGGGTGATGGTGGTGGTGAGGGTTGTGGTTGGTGATGATGGTGGTGGTGATGGTTGTGGTGGTGGTGAGGGTTGTGGTGGTGGTGGTGGTGATGGTGAGGGTGGTGGTGGTGGTGAGGGTTGTGGTGATGATGGTGAGGGTTGTGGTGGTGATGATGGTGGTGGTGATGGTTGTGGTGGTGGTGAGGGTTGTGGTGGTGATGGTGATGGTGAGGGTTGTGGTGGTGGTGGTGGTGGTGAGGGTTGTGGTGGTGGTGATGAGGGTGGTGGTGGTTGAGGGTGGTGGTGGTGAGGGTTGTGGTGAGGGTTTGTGGTGGTGATGATGGTGGTGGTGGTGGTGGTTGTTGTGGTAGTGATCGTTGTGGTGGTGATGATGGTGGTGGTGATGGTGGTGAGGGTTGTGGTGGTGATGGTGGTCGGTGGTGGTGAGGGTTGTGGTGGTGATGATGGTGGTGGTGGTGAGGGTTGTGGTGGTTTGTGGTGAGGGTTGTGGTGGTGAGGGTTGTGGTGGTTGTGGTGAGGGTTGTGGTGGTGATGATGGTGGTGGTGATGGTTGTGGTCGGTGGTGGTGGTGATGGTTGTGAGGGTTGTGATGGTTGTGGTTGGTGGTGATGGTGGTGAGGGTTGTGGTGATGGTTGTGGTGGTGATGGTGATGATGGTGGTGGTGAGGGTGGTGAGGTTGTGGTGTTGGTGGTGGTGGTGATGGTTTGGTGGTGATGGTGAGGGTGGTGATGGTGAGGGTGGGTGGTGATGGTGAGGGTGGTGATGGTGATGATGGTGGTGGTGGTGATGGTGAGGGTGGTGATGATGGTGGTGGTGATGGTTGTGGTGATGGTTGTGGTGGTGATGGTGAGGGTGTTGATGGTGATGATGGTGGTGGTGATGGTTGTGGTGGTGATGGTGAGGGTGGTGATGGTGATGATGGTGGTGGTGAGGGTTGTGGTGTTGGTGGTGGTGGTGATGGTTGTGGTGGTGATGGTGAGGGTGGTGATGGTGATGATGGTGATGGTGGTGGAAGACAGCGTCTGACAGACCTGTTCTTCACCTGAGAACGGCTGCTTGCGTTGTGGCCGAAACGTCGTGAGAATTATTTTATTATGTTTTATTTTTATTATTTTATTACTTCCCTTATACGTGACTTTACCGAAAGAACCAAGAAGATGAATCCCTGCAGTCACGAAAG